TGCTACCATTGTCAAGTTCATGAAAAGTGCTGATGTCATTATCCCATTGTTCTGGATATTTGGTGTACTTTTCAATCTAGAGAGTCTTGTTCTTAGATTCTAGATAACTTGTCTGTCTTTAAAAATAATATTTTACTGTGTTTGAGGTTGAAACTTTACACAGTAAATTAGGCTCTCATTTGAAAATTTGTGCACAAATTGTTTAGTGACATTTGTTAGTTTTTCACAGTGTGTCAACATTCTCTTTGTATTCAGGTTGTTCATTTCTAGTACTCTGGTTTCTTTCCACCTTTCTTATCTTTGCCTTAGAGTAATTGTTGACCTTTTGGTCTCATATAAATGGGTTTTACTCTCTTTATCTTTTATTATTTCCTCCCTTCAGTGTTTTCTCTTCTGTCTTAATGAACCTTTTATTACTTCGGTGTATGACTATTGTTGTTAGGTGACATTGAATTGGCTCTGAGAGTGATTATATTCTGTATTCAACAGAACGAAACACCATCTGGTCTTGTGCCATCCTCACAATCGTTGCTGTGTTCCAACTCATTGTTGCAGCCTGTGTCTGTCTGTCTTGTCTGAGATGTATGATAGATGTTCTGAATCAGTCTTCTAGTTTTCTTATTGCTCCTTTCTTGCTTTTTCTTATCTTTGTCTTTTTGTACTTCTTTCTGAGGGATTTTCTCAACTTTATCTTCTAACCTTTTCGTTGAGTTTCTCTATCCTGCTATCATATTTTTAATGTCTGTGAGTTTATATTTGTTTTGTTGAGTAATCTTTTTGTATAGCATTTTGTTTTTGTTTAATGAATGCAGTATTTTCTTTCATACAGTGAAGGTACTGATGATACATTTCTCCAAACTTTCATCTCTCTTCAGTTATTTTTTCTTTCTTCAAGATGCTGCATTCTATTTTTTGTTTTGCTTTTTATTTTCATGTTATAGATGTTAATCATATGTTTGCTTGCTTATTATTATATTTTCCACTTTCTATTATGAAAAATATGAACCATACATGAAAGAATGAAGAATAGTGTAATGAATTCCTTGGAAACCATCACCTATCTTCAAGAACTACCAACATTTTGCCCATTTAAATGAGTTTCCACTAAAAAGTTGATTGGACAGGTTGAGTATGTGTGGGAAATGTATTGATTGTGGATTTTTCTTTTAAGATGATCTGACTAATTTGTTTTGTAGGGGAACTATCCATGCTAATAATTTGAGATCTTTCTTGATGAAGGATTCTTCAATCTCCTTGCCTGATATATGCAAATTTAATCTCTAATTTATATAGTACTCTTGTACTTTGCTTGGTGTCTTAAGACATTTACTTAAAATTAAAAGCTGGTTTTATGTTGGTGCAGGAGAAGGTCAGATGTTTGACTGGTTGTGGATGATGAAATCTTGGGATTAAAGTGCTTTTTAAATACGTTCTTGAAGTCCTCTTATTTTAACACCTCTCTTCTAGCCCTCCTCTTCTCCAAATATCTTAGGCCACAGTTCCTGAATTTTCTGGAGGGTCTGTGATGTAAATGAGGTTGCTTATTGCCCTCTCCACCTCCCCTGGGTGCTCTGTGCTTCTGTTTTCTGAGGCTGCTAAATCATTGACCACTTGCCTTTCTTTTTGGCTTCCAAGTTGCTTTTCTCTCTTCTTACTCTGTCTTTGTACTCAATAATAATAATGATAATAATAATAATAATAATAATCCTTCTAAGTCTCATTAGTAGGTTTGGGGAGAGAACAGTAGTAATGCATGTATTCAATCTCTAGCTTTCTCCCGGTGCCAGTATAGTAATTTCTAGTACTGGAAGTTGTTTGGTGTGACTGGAGCATAGAGTAACAGCTTGGGTGTGAACACTGAGCAGGAAAGCTAAAATAGTTTCTCTTGATGTTCAGAGAGAGAAGTAGTATGATAATTTTCACTATGCTAAGGTAATCAGGGTCCCTTGGGGACCTTGCTTTGGAATGGTGTAAAACTAAGGTTCAGAAGAGTAGGTAAGAGGCTCTTTGTGTTAACTGTAAAAGAGATGATAAAAGTCTGAATTAATGCCATGGAAAGAAGGAGAAAATTTGAAAAATAATTAACAAGATAGAATTAAGGATATTTTCTATGTGTGTTGAGGATGAAGAGGATCTAGTATTTGGTTGTGACATAATTTATCACTAGATAAGATAGTAGGAACTCTGGTGGCATAATAGATATGGCATTTGACTGCTAACCAGAAGGTCAGTGGTTCAAACCCATAAGCTGCTCCATGGGAAGACGATGAGGCTGTTTACTTCCATAAAGATTTACAGCCTTGAAAACCCAATGGGGTTCACTATAGTAGGAGTTGACTTAGTGGCAGTGTTTTTTTTCCCCCCTGTGGCGCATTGCAGTTTAGATAGATAATAGTCCATGTCACTTGAATTTGGAAATGCTGGAAGAAGAACCATTTTTTAAGGAAGACAGTGAGTTCGTTCAGGAATAGAGTTTGAGATAGCCTTTAGGTGATAATGTCTCTAGTTATGTGGAGTTCATGAGAGATTTGGTGGAGACAGAGTGAACATTATCGGTGCATACATGTGATATGTGAGTAGAACCAAAGACAAGTACCCTGAGATAGGCCAGTATTTAGAGGGTTTATTCCTTTTTTTCTTTGAAAATAATTATAGATTCAAAGGATGTTGTAAAGATAGAGAGATCCTATGTACCTTTCAGCCATTGTACTCCATTACAGCTTATGTAATTATAGTAGAATATGATTTTTTGCCATTCTGTTAGTTTTCTCAGTATTTAAAGTTTTTTTCTTTAGCTTTCCTGTTATTGTAGGAGATTATGTCTGATAGTTTTATAAACGTGGGCCCAAAGAATGTTCAAATTAAATTTATTTAAACCAGATAGCTAGAATTGGACACATTTTTCAGGTCAGTAGATTACAACGTATTGAAATCTTTTTAGGCTTAGATGGCCTTCAGGAGCACAGTCTCTAGAAGTTGAAGATAAACTTGCCATATTACCTTGTTTGACTGGTGACATCTTATTATATAAACTAGTGGCTAAGGCACTTGACTGCTAACCAGAAGGCTGGTGGTTCAAACCCACCAGCCACTCCTCAGAAGGAAGATGGGGCAATCTACTTCTGTAGTGATACTGCCTCGGAAACCCAAGGAGGGGTCGCTATGAGTCGGTCCCACTCGACGGCACATAACAATGTCAGTAATTAGCAGTAATATTAACTTTCTTGGCAGTCTGTGTGTGTTTCGCAGTTGCTTACTTTACTTATGCTAATGCTTATGTATTATGCTTGTTGGGATGTGCACTAAGTAGGTAGGTAGGTACATTTTAATTTTTCAAGAAAACTGAAGTCTACTTGGTAGCTAAAATGAACTTAACTAGTTTTCTTAAAGTTCTTTATTTTCTGTTAAAGATTGAGCTACCTTTTCTATGGAGAATAAAATTTAACTGAACTTTTAAGGCCTAATATACTACTTTATTAGGAGCTCTGGTAGCATAGTGCCTTAGGCACTTGACTGCTAACCAGGAGGCTGGAGGTTCAAACCCACTAGCCACTTCTTGGAAGGAAGATTGGGTAATCTACTTCCGTAGTGATACTGCCTTGGGAACTCAAGGAGGAGGGGTCGCTATGAGTCGGGTCCGACTTGATGGCAAATAACAACAATGACGACGACAAAAACAACAGCATACTAACTTTTTGAAATACGGCATTTTTATGATTCTCTTCCTTTAGAATAATACTTAGAAAGAATTTAAACTGATTATAAGTTATAGAAAGGGCCAAACTCAACATATTTAAAGATGGACTTTATGTATTTCCATGGAAGTATTTATACCCCATTGATAAATAATGAGATTACTTACTGGCTGTGTCATCAAACTGAGAAATATATGTATATTCTGTGGCTTTGTAATTTGCTGTAATCTACACTGACATTTGAATTATTTGCTAAGTGATCAGGTACTTTTTTATAAAATAGAATTTTATTCACTTAACAGTCACTTATAATATACTAGCAAATAGAAACTATCAAACATTTTAATAGTTTATTTAGCTCCTTTCAGTATTTATCAGATTATAGAGATTATTATGATGTAGAGATTAATTTCTTATCCATGTTACGTTCTTCCAAAGGGCTTGGATTATAGTGTGATACACTTAATGAGTCAATCTCCATAAGAAAGTAATTAAGCAATCTAGAATTTTAGATAAAACCTCTTCCTTTTTTTCTCCATGTTTGTGTTCTTGGTGCCTAATGTAGATTAAAAAAATTCTTCATTTAATATATGCACTTAATTTTGTAAAAAAGTATACAAGGAAGAGTGTGTGTGTGCGTGTGTGTTTATCTTTCTTTGCCACTTCTTGACTTCCTTTTTGCCTTCTCACATTGAGCTAGTGTTAACTGTTTTTCTGTTTGCTTCTATAAGTATTTTAATGCATATCTGTATGTACAGATGGTAGCTATTTTCATAAATTCTCTGACATATGAAATTGTAATATACACTTCACCTTTTAAACTCAATTTGTAATTTTTTAAAATTTCATGCTTAATCCTTTGTCATGGCTGTTCAATATTCTAGAATGTGTATGTGCCCTAATTTAACTATCCTACTGATGAACATTTAGGCTGAGTTCATTTTATATTAGTTATTTCGGTGACACAGTTTATAGATTTTGAAATATGAGTGTTAATACATCTTCAGTAGACAGGGAGGGGAAAATAAATCTATCTTATATATGTAATCTGTCAAAACTAACAAATGTGTGGAGTTTTGGCATACTTTCTTTTACCGTCATTGTTTATTCTACTAGTAATTCATTTTTACTTACTTTCCAATTATAACTTCGTTTTAGTAGTGCCTGTAATTAGGATCATCTGAAAAAAGATGTGATATATTTTTAATAAATTGTTTTTAGGGCTTTTTAAATTATAGGTAATTTTTTTGGTGGGAGTGGGACCTTAGAGTGTCTTATGTTAAGTTTTATTTATACTTCCTATAGGGATTAGGAGCAGACAGCAAGAACCTGTACCCTTTCCTGCTCCCAGTTATTCAACTGAGTACAGATGTTTCACAGCCTCCACATGTTTATCTTCTGGAAGATGGTTTAGAATTATGGTAAGAGGAAAAACTTGATACCATGGATCTTTTTTTTTTTCCCCTTCCCCTGGCATCAATAAGTAACAGTAATTCAAAGCAATAGGGCTGTAAAAAAAAATCAGCATTTAAAAACAAAAACGTAAAATCAGTTTCCCCAAACTGGGTAACAAGTAGTTCCATTTCTTCTTGTCAGCTGTAACTCAGCGTGGGCTTACAGTAGACCAAATTAAAAGGGAAATCTCAGTAGGAACTCAACTGCATTTCATCTTTTGGAACTTGGCATGTAAAATGAGAGTTCTGATAAGTTCTTCAAACCAAAAATTCTCCATCTGTTAAATAGGATATTTTGGGGAATGTTGTTATTTCTCACCCCTTAACTACTTCACCTAGTAATTGCTGAGATGCTATGCCTCAGACCCGATTACTAGTGCTACTTATGGTCTTGATTTACTATTTTACTGAACAATAGTATGTAGAAGTAAGAGTATAAAAGTTTCTTCTGTGGCTGGTCAGTGCAATAAACCTCTGCTACCTACTATGTTTAAGAAACTGCTAGAAAATCGTTTTGCTTTATTAAAGATTATCTTAACTGATGGCAGCAAGTTTTTGCAGGGATATAACATGTAGTTGAAAATACATGAAAGGCTAAAAACATTCTAATATTTATATAGGAAGTATAAAAAATCACAGAAGTGAATTATGGAAAAATTTACCATTTGTGGTCCATTGGTCCTTCTTCCATCCTTCCTTCCTGTCTCCTCCTTTTCTTTCTCCCTCCCTCCCTCGTTTCCTCCATGCCTTCTTTCCTCCCTTCCTCTCTCCTTTCTTCTCCCCTTTCCTCTCTGCCCCACTTTAGATGTCTAAAAATTAACATCTTTGGTTTTGAGCAGTTGTCTTTGGTGGAAATTATAAATTAATGATCTGTATTATATTGGAGTTATTATATTATTATATTATATTGGAGTTCCTAGCTGGCACAAATTGTTGTGCAGTGGACTACTAACAAAGGTTGGTGGTTCAGAACTACCCAGAAGTGCCTTGAAAATGAGGCCTGACAATCTGCTTCTGAAAGGTCACAGCCTTGAACATCCTAGGGGGTGGAGTTGGAGTTTTAGTCTATTCTTGTGGTTGTCATGAGTCAGAATTGATTTGAAGGCAGCTAATAACAATAACATCAGAATACTAGCTGAGTGATTTTGAAGCATAACTGGGTACTTATTACTTTGCAGTTGGAGGTTTTCTTATTTTTTTTCTAGGTTATGTTGTTTGAATTTAGATACCTTTTATATTCATATATTTGTACAAGGATGAATTATCCTAGATTAGGGGTTTGCAAACTTTCTGTAAAAGACTTGATGGTAGATCCTTTAGGCTTTCTTGTCCATCTTTGTCCCAGCTATTCAGCTTTGCTGTTATAACATGAAAGCAGTCATAGAATGTGCTCAGTGTGGGTATGGCTATGTTCTAATAAAATTTTATTTACAAAAGTGGGCTGTTAGCAATATTTGTCAACCCCTGCTCTAGAGTATATATTAAAATATTTATCTCTATCATGTAAGTACTTTGTTGAAAATATACAGATAAAAGATTATAATGAATAGTAGAAAAATACAAAGTATTAATTATTATAAATAAACAAATTAAGATACATTGTTCATTTGAATCACAAAATTATTTAGCAGTATTCCTGGTGTGGTGAAGTTGATTCTGACTCATAGTGACCTTATGGGACAGGATAGAACTTCCCCATAGAGTTTCTAAGTCTGTAATCTTTACAGAAGCAGACGAACTACATCTTTGTTCTGTGGAGTGGCTGGTAGGTTTGAACTGCTGTCCTTTTGGTTAACAGCTGAATGCTTTACCAGCACACCACCAAGGCTCCTTTATCAACATCACTAATATTTTAATGTGTTTTATTAAATATCTATAAATTTTTTAAGGAGTACATAAATGTGTAATAATAACAATGAATTTTTCTGTTATGATAATTTATTTTTTCCTAGCCTTTATTTATATGTAAAACAAATAAACAGTTTCGTATAGCATATAAAAACAGATTAATTGCTTCTAATTTGCCAAATTTATTAGTACAAATTTTTTCATGGTTTTTTCTTAGTGGGTTAGAGCTCCTGTTTGGAGTTAGGTAAAAGTACCAGTCCCAATTCTTTCACTACATTAGCTTTGAGATTTGTGTAAGTTAATTATCTTTTGTGAGCCTGGGTTTCCTGTCTGTAAAATGAAAAAAAAAATAATTCCTACCTTACATGATTGTTAGGAGGATGAGATGTTTCTAATGTGTTTAGTATTTTGTCAGTATGTAGCCTGGGAATGAGTAAGATTGCTCAGGAAGGGAAGAGCATAGAGACCACTCTGCTCAGGACAGAATTCTGATGAATTTAAAGCATTTTGAGGTCACAATAGGAACCATCAAAGAAGACAGAGAAGGTCTATCTGATGATATAGGAGGAAAGTCAAACCAAGAGAAGAGAATGCTCTTAAAAGAGGGAATGGTCAACTGTGTCAAATGCTGCTGATTGTCGTTATTATATTAGTTAGACTGCCACAGAGAAGTGAATTTGGCCACATTGATATATTAGGAGTTTCAGTGACATGATAACAACAGATACTAGAATTGGCATAGACTAAAGAACGAACTTCCGATAAGTAGAGATTGTGAGTGTTGACAGCTTCTTTGAGAGCTTTGTCTATGAAGAGCCTATGGAAAAGGGGAAGCAACTAGTTAGTGTGGGAAATGGGAGGTCAAGAGCAAAGATGCTGGTTGTTGTTGTTATGTGCCGTCAAGTCGGACCCGACTCATAGCGACCCTTACTTGGGTTTCCGAGAGAGTATCACTGCGGAAGTAGATTGCCCAACCTTCCTTCCCAGGAGTGGCTGGTGGTTGAAGGAGGCTTAAGGCATGGTGTTCAGAACTCAAGTGGAGGGGTTGATATTCAGTGGCAGTAGGGACACTTCATTACAAACAGAGGTAGGAAGGTGAATTTTGTTGTGGGACTAGATGGGGTCTATTTCACAGTAAAATAGGAAGCATAGTCATTAGCTGAGACTTACAGACTGGAGTGTACACAGGATCTGAGAGGTTTCTGAAGAGAAAAGTATAAAATAGTTATCTTGAGAATAAAAGTTTGAGGTTAGGCAATCTACTTCTGTAGTGATACTGCCTTGGAAACTTAAGGAGGGGTCGCTGTGAGTCATCAGACTCAAGGACTCAACAGCGCATAACAATGACAACAACAGAGATGATGAGTACCAGTTGCTGTTTGTGATCATGAATATAAAAGTGAAACTCCCTGGACTGGTTAGGTGGTTTATTTTTTTGATGTGTCTTTTCACCCCCTTGATCCATCTCACTAGAGATTCATCATTATTCCTAGTCTTTTGAGAGAACCTACCTTTGTTTTTGATTCTTTTTGTATGTTTGTTTTCTGTTTATTAATCTCTGCTGTTTATATTGCCTCTTTCTACTTCTCTTAGGTTTATTTTATTTTTTATCCTTTGACTTAACATTCTGTAGAATTAGCTCATTAATTTTTAACCTTTCTTCATTCTTAATATAAACATGTAATAAAATTAGTTACTTTTATTTTTAAGCAGAATTTGAAGAAAATACCTCAGATGAACAGTTTTTCTTTTATGAAATGTTGTTGTTGTTGTTATGTGCCGTCGAGTCGGCCCGACTCATAGCGACCCCTCCTTGGGTTTCCGAGGCAGTATCACTATGGAAGTAGGATTGCCCAACCTTCCTTCCGAGGAGTGGCTGGTGGGTTTGAACCACCAGCCTTCTGGTTAGCAGTCAAGTGCTTTAGCCACTATGCTACCAGAGCGAATGAGGTAATTAATGGAGGCTAGTCAGCAGCCAGCAATGCCAACTATCCACCATTTAATGTCATATGTGTTTCATCATTAAAAGTGAAAATTAATTTGATTCCTTTTGCTATCTATTACGGAGGAAATCATATCATTCTCTTTTTAAAAACTCTTTTCAGATAAACTTTGGTTGCTAGGGTGAATTACACCTCTAATATATTGTAAAGTTTTATTTTCTAATATTTTATCTAATTTTATTTTTTTCTATAAATTAATTGGATTTAGAATTTATATTTTGTGATACTGTAGGATTTTGTACCAGTTGTATATTTATTAGGTTATGTTCTTTTTTTAAAAAAATACTGGAATGGTTTCTATAATATGGAAACTATTTTTTGGAACATTTGAAAATTCAGTAATATAGCCAACTGAAAATGAACTGCTATGGAGTGGTCATTTACAATTTTGATAACATTTCCGGTTTGTTCCTAAGTTACTAGTTTATATGTACTTATTTTAGGTGTTGATTTTCTTTGTGTGTTAATTTTGGCAGTTAGTCCCTTAAAATAACTCTTAAAATAATTTAAAATGTTTAGAATTTTTTCTTTTAATTATTATGAAAGAATTTGCTCTTAGATTTATTGATTCTATGTTTCTTGTCACTATTTTTGTTTTGGAGTTTTTACTTTCTATATTTAATTATTGGTGCATTTTTCTAAAAGTGTGAAAGAAATGGTTAGTGTTCTAACTTTGTTTTTCTTGTTCCATACTAGAACGTATAAAACTGTGAATTTGTCTTGGCATATAGCTAGGTATTTTGTATAAGTTTTGATATGTAATATTCTATTTTTTTTATTTTGGTAATAGCATTTGAAAGTTTTTTTAATGACTTCTTTGACCCAACATTGTTTTATTTTTTGCTGGTATAAAAGTACATGATTCAGATCTGGATATAATGCATTACAGTTATAACGTGTGCTTTATATAGTGTATTTTTTAAGTTAATGTGAATTTTAATGACTTATTACAGGGTCTGTTTTTATAACCTATCCACATAGAGTAGTAATGAGGTGACTTTTCTTTAAAATTGACTTTTACATATATCCTTTTAACTTTACTTGTTGGTTGTAAAGCTCTTATTATCATTTTGCACCTTTATCTTTACACTGATTTATTAAAATTTGCCACTCAGTTTTCTTTGTGTCACTGCCCCTTTTTTTATTTCTAATACTTTTGAAATGTATACTTTTTTTTTTTTTTTTGTGATTGGGGTGAAGATTTACAGAGCAAATTCACTTTCCATACAGCAGTTCACATACACTTTGTCTCATGACATTGACCACAGTTTACCACAATGCAACAGCTCCCCTCCCACTTCCTCCCCATAGTTACCTCTTCCCAGTGTCCATCCCTCCATGCACTCCTGCCCCCTGAGCTGTCTCCCTGTGCATAAGCAGCCCTTCTTTCTCCCATGATTGTTCTCGCCGAGGAGTGTATCTACCTCAGGTAAATGTTCAACTCCTATACCTGTCTTTTGTTTGGCTGGAAACCACAGGTGTGGGTTCAATTCCAGACCTGAAGGGCAACTAGGGGCCATAGTCTCAGTAGTTCCACCAGACTCTATTGGACCAGCAAACCTGGTCCCCCCCCCCTTTTTTTTTTCTCCAAATGATTTTGAGTTTTGTTCCACATTGTTCTCCCTCTCTATCAAGGATCTCCTAGATAGATCCCCCAACAAGTGGTTGACCGTGGTAGCTGGGCACCATCTGGTTCTTCTGGTCTCATAGTCATATATAGGCTGCAGATCGGGTGGTGTACCAGTTGCTAGAACTAATTGTTTCCATGAAGTTTGGTTTTCTTCATTCTTCTTTGCTCTGGACAAGGAAAGACCCATTGTTGCATCTAGATGGCAGCTTGGTAGCTTTTAAGATCCCAATTGCTACTTGACGAAGTAGGTGGTAGAACCGCGTTTTGTATAGTATGTTATGCCAATTGAGCTTGATGTCCCCTGTGACTACGGTCCCTCTGGGTAGCTGGCTATGTCCAAGCAGTGACCACAAACTTGGCCCTTGTTGGCTCTACTATACACCTGGGAATTCTGATCATTCACATAAGCTTATAGGACCTTTGTCTGCCAACCCTATACATGTTCTTGGCTACATTCCCCATTTCGTAGACATACCTGATAGTTCATTCTGTCCACCCATATACCCATGTTTGCCTTCACTGACAACACAATACTGTATGTGCAAAAGGATTCATCTTTGTTGTCTGTACCGCCCATGTATCTATCTATGTCTTTCTCGTCCTCAATACTGCCATATTGGTCATTTACATTTGGTACGTTGCCCTTCTCTTCACCCAAACCAATATTTATCTCTATCGATCTAACAGCATTCTCTTCCCTCCCCTCCCATAACGGACCAATACAATACTTGTCCTTTTGTGATTGACTTATTTCACTGAGCATAATGTCTTCCAAGTTCATCCACGTTATGTGGTGTTTTGCAGATTCTACATTATTCTTTAGCGTTGCATAGTATTCCATTGTGTGTATGTACCATAGTTTGGTTATCCATTCTTCAGTTGACGGACACCTAGGTTGTTTGAAATGTATACTTCTTAAAAATACCATTTACTACTGAAAATTCTGATACTTCTGCCTATTACTGAAATAGAATTTCACATTATTTTCAGTGAGCTTCCTGTGATGTGATATATGTATGCATGATTGATTTTGCACCTTTTAATTTTATTGGAAGTAGCCCTGGTTGCATAATTATTAATAAGCCCTCGGGTGCTTGAAAGGTCAGTAGTTTGAACTCACCAGCTGCTCCACAGGAGGAAGATGTGACTTTCTGCGTCCATAAAATTACAGCCTTGGAAAGCCTCTGGGGAAGTTCTTTTTCCTGTAGGTTTGAGTGGGAATTGTCTCAGTAGTTGTAACAATAATGACACAACAACAACAACAAAAACAACAACAACACAGTTCTTTAGATTTAAATTTTATCTGATAGTAATATTGACATACCTACTTTGTTTAGATTTGATTTAACTCTCTTTGTTAAATGATCATGTCAAGTCATGCAATTCGAATATCTTTTTATAGATTTGTTACAAATTTGTATCTCCTTTTCTGTGAAATGCCTATTTACTTGTTTTGTCCATTTTTCTCTTACTGACTTATTTTAGATTATCATTACTTTGATTACTACTACTTTTGTCAATTTTTTATATCGTAAACAATTTTTCCCCTGGTATATAGCTCAATATTTTTTTTTTGTTTTTAACTGTTTTGGGGAGTATCTTTTAAAAAGCAGTAGTTTTTACTGTTAGTGTACTCAAATTTATCAATCTTTTTTTTAAAATCTTGCTCTTAAAGATTCTTTTCTCTTTAAGAGAATCTTTCTCTTAAAGTCGTATTTTATCTCCTAACATCATGTAAAGTAAATCCTCCTGGACTTAGTTTCTGTATTTGGTATGAGGTAGGGGTCCAGTGTCTCATCAGGAAAGGCTAAACAGTTCAGCCTTTCCTTGCTGACCCTAAGAGCTACTTCTGTCATATATGAAAAGTCTTCTATTTCTTGCCTATTTAATTATCTGACATTTCACATTTATGACAGTAGTTATGTTGCACATTAGCAGCATATGCCTGGCAATAACAAATACTGACATATGAGGTGAGAGTACTGCTGGCTGTGCTGGTTAAAGTTACATGTTAACTTGGGTGGGCCATGATTCTCCGTGGTTTGGCAGTTACATAGCGATTTCATTTGGTGGTTATGTAATGATATAATCATCCTCCATTTTGTGATCTGATGATAATCCTCTATTTTTGCATAGTACTGACTTTTGTGTAATGACCTGGTTTTTGGAACTTAACCCTGTCAATAAGTGAGGAGTTGGATGTATAATAGACCAATTTTAAGTCTTATTATCTGATAAAGCAAATATATCCTCCCACCCTATCCTTTTTCTTTTCTTGAGAAATTTCCTATCTCTTCTTGGCAATTTGCCTTCCAATCTTTTTGAGAATCAACTTCACTAAGTACCAGGGGAAACTTGTTGGGATTTGAATTGAAATCGCATCAATTCTATATTACAATTTAGAAAGTACATCATTTTTTGGGGGGGATTTTGTGTCTATGCATGTGATAAAGTAATTTATTTGGATGTTAGTTATTCTTAGTGTGTAGAAACAATTGATTTTAGTTATTTGTTCTTGGTGTATAGAAACAGTTGATTTTTTATATCAATATATTGTATAATCTTGCTTAACTCTCTTATGCAAATTATTCAGATAATTTGTCTATAGGGGTTTCCCTTTCTTTTTCTAATCTGTACTTTATCTTTTGTGAAAAAGGACTATTTAACTTTTTATTCTCCTAGTATATATTAATTTATTTGGCAGATGATATATAACATTGGACAGATGAGTTTAGATGTGGTACACTTTGCTTGTTTCTGTTTTTCAAGAGAGTGCTTCCAACATACCACTAAATGTATTTCCTATGAGTGTTTGATAGATGATTTCTTATCAGGTTAAAAATGTTCCTTTTGATTTGTAATCTGTTAGTAGTTTTTATTATGAATTGAGTGTGCTTTTTTAAAGTAGAATTTTCTCCTTTTCTTACAACTATTGTTACAATCATGACTTAGTCCCTTTCCCTCTTTTTGAAGAGATGAGTAGAAAAACTAGCTATACACTTCTGTGATAAACCATATCCCATATATATACACACATATATATTAGTTTTTATGTATTAATCGTTTCACATTAGTAATCTCACTGTGAATGAGATTGCTTGTAACTAGCTTTTGTCATACGATGAAGATCATATTTAGTAAGCATGCAACATTAGTTGGTTTACTAAATTAGCCCAGTTTTTCATCAAAGATATCAATGAAATATGGCAGAAAAATATTTCAGGAAAAAAATGAGATAATGAACAATGAAGTAATGTTTGTCTCTCCTTAATGAATCCATAATAGTCATGCTTTTATCTTTATCACTATAATTTCATTATTATAGATATTTTTGTTGTGTGCACAGAAATAATATTATGATTTAGAGGTAGGGTTTTAAGTTTTGGTGAATTTTGGAATTCTCCTAGAAAAATAGTTTTTATAACTTTCTGTCTTACCCACTTGTCTTACTTCCTTCATATAAGACTATTTTATATTTAAGTTACTGTATTAAAGGCTTTAGTGAGTACATAAGGTGATTTAATAATTTGTTTTCTATTCCTAGGTTAGTGACATTGGAAAACAGCCCATGTATAACACCAGAGTTACTTCGTATATTTCAGAATATGTCACCACTTCTTGGTATGTGTTAAAGCGTAAACTTGGTGATATTTTTGAATGTAGCCATAATTCAGGGGCATTATATTATAACTGACTTTAAATTACAGCTTCCATTTTTTATTACACTCCCTAATATTGGTAAAAAAGTTGAATAATATTATAACAATTTCTAGATTTTTCCATATACTTTTAACAATCATTTCTGTTTATTAAAGAAAAACACAGTTACTGTCTAATTAATTCTAATTCATGCTGACCCCTTGTGTGACAAAGTAGAACTGTGATCTATAAGGTTTTCAGTGGCTGAGTTTTGGGCAGTAAATTGCCAGGTCTTTCCTGTGAGGTGCATCTGAGTGGACCTGAATTTCCAACCTTTTGGTTAGTTGCAGAATATATTAACTATTTATACTACCTAGGGGCCAGGGACTCCTGCTTATTAAAGTGTAAACACTAAATTGCTCACCTTATGGGAGATTTTGAAATAAAAAACAAAAATATTCTTAGAAAGCTAATTAGAAATGAAACTTGCTTAGTAAAATTTCTATGTGTGATGGCAGTTCAGTAATTTATTTAGGAGACTGTATTGTGAAACTGCTTCTATACTATATAGGCCATGATTTTAATCAGCTTCTTTTATAAGATGGTTATTCACAAAAGAGCTTTGTACATACATATTTCTGTGATTTAGCTAAGGAACCACCATGGTAAAGGTTATTAAATATTAGGAAGTCAAATTTATTGGTTACTGAAGTATTAGTTACATATGAACTGTGAAATCATGAAGCTTCATGTTTCCTAAGCAACGTTTTTAGCATATGAAACCTGGAAACGAGGCACTGTGTTAGGAGTAGTCTCTTAGTCTTCTTGGATGAGATCTAATTAAATTCATTTTGCCAATCTCAACATGGATTTTGGTGATAATTAATAATGGAATGATAATACTTTTCTGTTATGTGTCAGCTACTATTAACAAGTGTGTAATTATTTTTTAATTTCTTTGTATACTATCTTGTTTATAGATGTTATTTTGTGTGGTAGTTTACCACTGCAGGTTCACACCTAAACTAATGGAGTACTTGAGAATTGTATACAGTGCTATTTATTGGTCCCTTGACCCTTTTTCTAGTTGTAAAATACTACCTTCTTTTATTGTTTGATTATAATATGTATTGCAAAAACAATTAAGTTTTTTTTTTCCCATTCAGAGTTCTCATTCTTCTAGACTCATCCATGAAGCATCTCTAATTCCTTCATTAAAACTTTGGGTGTACTAATATTGTCATGAGAACGCATTTAGGTAGGAAAACAGTAGGAAAAAAGGCTTAATTCTTATGGCAATATCTAAAAAACTTTTGTGTGAGAACTTATTTGTGGTGATAAATTTTATTAGAGGCAAAAATATTACTGAGGTTTAATGATGTACCAGAAAAGTAGATTCACACTTTGAAAATATCAATAAATGTGGACTAAAACAGCTTCAACTGATAAAAAAAATTTTCCTCTCCTCATTTGTTGGATGACCATGGTGGCTGGATTATGTCCCTCACATTTTCTCTGAGTTTTTCTCTTCTTCTGCTCCATTCCTCAGAATCAGGTGAGATGTCAAATAATACCAAAATACCATTTGTTTTCCCATAAAGAGATATTTGTTATTTATCATCTAGCATCTCCATGTAAGTTAGTAATTCCAAAGAAGAAGACAGTGTCAATAGGCCAGTCACTTATCCACACTCTGCTAGGAAAAGTGAATTTTGTTTCCTTTCAGTCATCATAGAGAAAGAGAATAGGAGGTCACCACTTCTTTTCCTTTATTCTCTAGTGAAGTCCTTTCTAGTTCTGGTCTCCCTAACTTGGAGATCATGTATAGTGCCATTCTGGGTAATTCATAATGCTTCCTTTACATAGGAGTGGAAATCTCATACAGATCAGTTATCAACTTTGTCTTGTAAAGAAAATCAGCTACTCTTGCATGTGGGTGACTTCGTGTGTTGACCTCCCATCACATTTGTATTACACCCCAAATTCATCATGCCTTGCTTCTAGAATGTAAAATTCCCGTAGGTTATGGGAGGGGGATTTAGGAGGCAGAAAGAAGAGATGTAAACAAACAAAAAAACATATGACTAACTTTAATATAACCTTAAGACACTATTGTAGATTTTGGTAAGTGCTCTAGTGTAGTTTTTTTAAAAAATAGTATTTTATTGTGTTTTCATTGAAAGGTTACATAGCAAGTTAAGTTCCCATTTAACAATTACTACATGTATTGTTCAGAGACATTGGTTACATTTTTCACAATGTTTAACATTCTCATTAATTCCTTTCTGTATGTTTTGCTTCCAGTAATTTGGTTTCCCTGTTCCCTTTATCCTTTCATCTTTGCTTTAAAGTAATTGTTGACTATTTTCTAGTATAATTTTACCCTAGAAAGCTTTATAGTTGATGTGTAGTCCTTATCAGAGCAATATTTATGTCAGTGTTTATGTGTTTAGAATATCTAGCACGTAGTAAGCACTATTTTAAGTGTTTTGCTGTTATGTTTATTGTTGCTGTGGTTACTGTTACTATTAACTTTGCTAGTATTTTAAATGAAAGAGTACCGACAACTGGCTCTGTAGGATTTATTACTAACTTGAACCAAGAATTAATGAAATTTCTACCTTATGATGATGACTGCTTGATTTAAACAGTTTAATTTTCAAAGACTTAAAAAATTCATTATTTTATAGTGTTAGTAAATAGTGATATGGTTGTAATTGTAATTTGCATCTGAAGAACATGTTTTCTTACTTCCTTAGGTTATGAGTTAGATAAGAACCCATGGAGTAGGCCAGTATTTTGCCAGAATTTCTTTTTCCATCTGTCCTATTGTGTGTATATAGAATTTCTAAAATATTATCAATAAGGAATTTATATATAGGTGACTTTTTGGGATCGTGTTTTAATCTGTATAATGATGAATATAGAGTCGGTTTTCTGTTCTATTAAATATAATAAAACATGTAAAATAGCATTGCATCAGTATGTGATCATATTCAAAATGGTTACCACTTTGACTTGAAAAGAATTCCTATCTGTAGGCTATTCTAGTGATTATACTTTTAAGACTTTTTTTTTTTTTCAATGTACAAATATTTATAGGGGAGCAGATTTGAAGGACAAAGTAAGGATTGAGACTATCTAAATATAATTTTTTGGGGGAGGTGTATAATAGGAAATCATTTCATAAGTAAGTAGGGTAGCATATTCAGTGTCAGCATAGTGTGCTCATTGTGTGAACCCATTTAACCAGATGTCAAAATACAGTGACAGTATGATTCGTTCTCACGCTGTTTGCTGTGTGAGCACTAAAAATTCAGTTTGAAATGAAAAGGTGGATTATATGGTTATCTAGTTCTTTTCTGAAAGGACCAAAAAGGGAGCTTGCTATTCTTTTCTAAGTGTTTTAGCTAGTGGGAAGAAGTTAGAAGAGGATTCCTATCATTTGATACCAGGTTTTACATGTACATACTACTCAGTTTAATACCACTCAGAAAAGATTTGTTAAAGAAAGGTATATAACTTAGTTTTACAAATAAATCACTTCATTTATGCTAATTTTGAGCTTTGAGTTAATTTGCCCCCCCTTTTTTTGTAATTTATTATTTTGGCAGAACTAAGTTCAGAAAATCTCAGAACCTGCTTTAAGATCATCAATGGTTATATTTTTTTGTCATCAACAGAATTTTTACAGGTACGTTATAGTAGTTTTTGCATTAAATTTATGCATTCATTATTTTGATTGTTCCCCCTTTGAAATCAGGCTGTTATACCTTTTCAAAATTTAAGATTGGTGTTTTACTTTAAGGGGAAGGAAAAAACCACTTTGACTATGAGCGTTGTCCATTGTGAAGCAGATATAATGCAGTTCTATAAATTGTATTATTTAACAAAGAATGTCTATATGAATAAATATATTCTTAATGTTCCTATAAAAGTCAGTGTAGCAGTACTGTATTTTAATAATATATAGTCTTTTTTCTTAACTTTTTCTAAAATGTAATTTGAATTTGAATCTTTATATGCTCAGTATATAATTTTCAAATAGATTATGTGTTTCTATCTGGATTTTATGCCTTTCTGATATTACATACATATTCATGCATATACATTGGTTTTTTATTGAATTTCAGACATATGCATTAGGTCTATGTCAGTCCTTTTGTGATCTGTTAAAGGAAATTACTACAGAAGGTCAAGTTCAAGTACTCAAGGTATTGTCATCTTTTAAAATGAATATTGATACAAATTTTGTCTTTATATTTTGTGAAGTCAGACCTTCATTTGGGTTTGGATGATTCTCAAGGAGAAGGGTTGATGTAATTGTGAAGAGATGTTTTATTTATTTTAGCAGTATTCAGCTGTACTGACTTGGAGGGGCCAGTGGTAGAATTTTTGCCTTCTGAGTGGGAGATCTGGATTCCTGGCCAGTCAGTGCACTTGTGTGCTGCTATGATGCTGAGCAGGTGTCAGAGGAGTTTCCAGAGTTACATGGAGTAGGAACAAAAGTCAGCCAGTGAAAACTCCATGGTTCACAATGGTCTGAAGCACTGTGCTACTTAGGAAAAAATGAGACTTTTAGAAACAAAATGTAACAAAGTGTAAGACTTCTGTTTTAGGTTCTCAGTAATTCAGAATATAAGGTGCTTGTAGAAAACATCATGTTGTAAGGTAGTGATCAGGTTTTTAGCCCAATTTTGGTAGTTATGGGAGCTCTGGTAGTGTGTCTAAGGCATATGAATGCTAACCAGAAGGCTGGCAGGGCAAATCCACCAGCCACTCCTTGTTTGGTAGCTAGCGTTGGGAATTTAAATGTTTTATTCCTCAGCCTTTTCACTTTATAACAAGCAAGCTTTGAAATATGGATACAATAACAACAGTCTTTCCGTTCTCAAATTGTATAATTCTAAGGTCAGATAATATATGAGTAATATCTGACTTTATGTGAGAGTATTTGATATATGACTGGTGTATGATATATGTGGTGGTGGTGGTGGTGTGCCATTGAGTCAGCCCTGACTCATAGTGACCCCTCCTTGGGTTTCCGAGGCAATATGACTACAGAAGTAGATTGCCCAGCCTTCCTTCTGAGGAGTGGCTGGTGGGTTTGAACCACCAGCCTTCTGGTTAGCAGTCAAGTGCCTTAGGCACTATGCTACCAGAGCTCCTATGATATATGTAGTATATGAAATATGACTATATGACAGTATATGATAGTATATGACTAGCAGATAGTATGTATTACAGACATTTTAAGGGGCAGTGGTTACTTTTGATTGGACTATTAAAACAAGAATTCTTGGGCTGCTTCATTTGAAGTCATCTGTAAGTGGGAGACAATTTTCTTATTGAAAAGATAGTAATAAATTTCTAGTTGCTCCTGTGTCTTAGTTTGCATACCCAGCTCTTACATACTCTTTGACTTAAATGTCTTCATGTGTTATGTAAGGGATTATACTAAGTTTTTAATGATTTGTAATTATATATGATTTGAAATCCTCAGTGTTAAATTATAATCTGTATATTCTAAGTGATTAAGTAAGGGGGTTGTTCTTCACATTGAAAATCACCCAAGTCAAATCTGAATTAAAAGCTTTTTTTTTTTTTTTTTGCTTTTGTGTAGCATTATTAATAAAGTTATTGATGACATATTACTTATTTTGAATTATTTGGAGTAGGCATTGTGAAATTTCTTTTGTGAAAGAAGCAAGGTTTAAGAATGTGTCCTAAGGAGAATATTTGGTTCCTCTTAGTATTTGTTTTTAATTATGTGCTTTCAAAATAATTAGAGACAGTCTAGCATAGTAGGTAAGACTGTAAGTTGAAAACAGACTGCTAGAGTTAGAATATTGTCTCTTTACTTCACACTTGTGTGACAAGACAAGATAGTTCATGTCTCTCTTCCTCACTTTTTATCCATAAACTTTGAATCTACTTCTTAGACTTGATGTGAGGATTACATGAGCTTCTATATATAAAGCATTAAGACAATGCCTAATATATAACAACTTGCGTAAAAATAGCATGGTAGTAGCATCTGATCTCCTCTAACTTCACAAGGAGAGAGAAGGATTAAGATCAACATTCCAAGGCTGATTCCTACATGCCTCTACCCTCCAACCTTTTTAACAATTCTGACAGCAACCGTTCCTCCCATGACACTCTGTACCTCTCTGTTGCTGGGTTTCATAGTCTGTTGCAGTGACCACACAGAACTCACAGACAGTACTCACAATTATGGGATTTATTAAGGTTACAATTCAGGATCAGAAACAATTGGGAATATAGTTTTTTGGTCAAGACAGCCTCTTCTCAGCTGTGCCCAAAAGTAGGCTTCTCTCTGGCCATTGGCCCCTTTGCCTAGCCTATGCCCTGCTTAGAAAAGTGTTACTAAGCTCTTTTAGCTCTGATGATAAATGCCTGGAAGCACCCCACTCTGCCAGTAAGTCTTGGCCTAAAGCCACTCAGCTTTCTCACTCAGAAGGCCACCTCTCTGTCTTGTGCTGGTCTCTGCTCTGCTGCCTCTTTTGCTGCCATTTCTCTGCCGCTGCTTCTCACCATCTCTGGGGTCACAGCTTTCTGTCTCCTAGATTGAGGAGATTCTGTGTGGGGAGTCTGTGTTCCAAATGCACTCCACTTCTGGCTCTTCTTTCATGGTCGTGAGATTTCTCCTTTCCCACATCTTAGATGGCTCATTTTAAGTTTCGTGGGATGGCAGACTGACCAGTCCTATGTTAGGTTTCCATACAATTTATTGGCATGGTTCCACCCCCATAAGGGTGCCAGGCTCTTTATTTACATTATTAGCAAGCTATCCAGTCTACATGTGGGCTACAGGTACCTCAAATTTGCATAGTCCCACTAGTCATTTGGTGGGAGTTACAAAGACTATGGCTAGAAAGGCCATATTAAGTAATTCACTGCACTGCCACCTAATATAAGTACTTGTTATTTTTATCTAACTATGTAATCTTCCTTTAGGGAAAATAGTATTACACTTATAGGCCGAAATGATTTATTTGTTTACTAACATCTTAGGCTATAGGAAAACAAACCAAACCAAATTGTTCTATCTCATGCTTTGACCATTTCCTCAAAATAAATATTTTAAATAAGAGTGCATTAGTTAGATTTACTTTTATCCAGAAGCTTTATATCTCTGTAGGTGCTTTAAAATTAATTGTATTGATTCTTTCTTGCTTCTTAGTATAAGGCAATTGTTTAAAAATTGCTTATTATGGAATATTCCTAACTTCTTGTTGTTGTTATGTGCCGTCGAGTCGGACCCGACTCATAGCGACCCCTCCTTGGGTTTCTGAGGCTGTATCACTATGGAAGTAGATTGCCCAACCTTCCTTCCGAGTAGTGGCTGGTAGGTCCGAATTGCCAGCCTTCTGGTTAGCAGTCAAGTGCCGTAGGCACTGTGGTGGTTATGTTTGTGTGTCAGCTTGGCTAGGTCTGTTGTTGAGTGGCTGGGCAGCTGGATGTAGTATTCCCATGATGAGACTGGTAATCAACTCCATGGTGGAATCTACTGTGAGCAGCTGAATAGCTGCCTTTGGGAATGTGGTCTACTTTCTGTATTTAAGGAGAAACCTTGGGAATGGTCTCTAGCTTTGGCATGCTTGGACCCTGCATGTAGCCGTGTCATTGCTCAGCAGCTAGCTATGCTCTGCCGACCTTGGGACTTACAGTGGACTTAAGTTAATGGCCTGCCATGTGGGACTGTGCCTTTCTACTTGTCAACCTTGGGTTTTTCAGCCTCAGCAGCCGGCAGCTGTCTGAGTGAAGAAAAGCCTCTAGCTTCAGTGGACCAGGAGCTGGAGGCAGAGCTGAAGCCCAAGGCTGAGGGGCTTTCACCCAGCCCCTAGAGCCTGGCACTTTAAACTTGGACTTAAAGCCTCCAAATTGTAAGAATAAACTCCTGTTTGTTAAGGCCATCCCATTTGTGGTATATTCTTGTCAAAGCAACACTAGGTAACCAGAACAGGCACTATGCTACCAGAGCTCCTTATGCCTAACTCACATATTATATAACACTATCCTTATAATTTTACTAGAAAGAAAATCTATATACTTTCCTTTGTCCTTTGAAGTGAACTACTCCTTAAGTTGTGTCCTTTTGTTTTGTTTTTGGTTGAATGATTCAGCACAAATTAATCATCAACCAAATATATTTTTATATATTTATAACACTTAACACAAGTTACAGGTTAAGCAGTTTCTCTGTAATTATGCCAACAGTAAGTCATGAGTAGGATACATAAGCTTGAATTAAAAATTGGTGATCTGATAACGTATAAGACTATTTTTTTGTATAAACATTGCTGTAGGTACACCTGTACATTTGATTCGAAATATCAGAAGCTGGATTTTCTTACTGAATAAATAGGTGTCAAATACTAAGAACATACAAGTTACCATAAATAAATAATTTGTGTTTTTCTATAAGGAATATTTTAGGACTATAGTACTTTTATTTTATGCCATTACATGAAGGTTGGGAAAGCACTCAGAACTTTTGTGTTGTCCTTTTCTCAGAATTCTAGCAGAGCTGTAATAATATTTTTTCATATACATTATTTTCATTTTTTAATGCTATTCAGATGCTTTTTCTTAATATAGTATGCTGTGTAACATTTTGAATACAGTTTTCAGTAAATATCACTATTGTATTAATTTCTGACAGTATATGGAAGTTACCTTCTTTGTTCTTTCTAGTAGAAAATTACAATGTTATGAAAATTGGATGGCAGATGAAAATTGGATGGCAGGACCAGTATGCCTGTTTTAGAATCAAATGATTTTGAACAAAAATAGACTCATTGTACTCTGTGACTCTGAACAGGTTATCTTGATGAGTACCATTATTATCTAAAAATATAAATTTTAACATTTTTTTAATTTGGAATTTTTTGATATGTATATATACTGCTTTGAGTTTTGAAATTCTCTTTTTTGTTACAATCCTATCAAGTAGCATAGAGTCTATTTCTTTCACTTTTTGTGGTAAGGCTTACTTAAGATGGCACAAATATTTTTAAGGTTTAATTTATTCTGTAATAATAATAATACCTAATACATTTCTGTGTGTTTCATAAGAAGCCCGCCCTGGTGGCACACTAGTTTAGTGCTTGGCTGATAACCAAAAGGTTGACTGTTTGAACCTTCTAGCCACTCGGTGGGAGAAAAATGTGGTAGTCTACTTTTTAAA